TATATATATAAATATATATATATATATATATATATATATATATATATATATATATATATATATATATATATATATATATATATATATATATATATATATATATATATATATATATATATATATATATATATATATATATATATATATATATATGTATATATATATATATATATATATATATATATATTATATATATATATATATATATATATATATATATATTCATTAGATTCGAACTAAATTAATTATAAATAAAAAAAGATGTGAATATTACTGTACATATATATATATATATGTATATATATATATATATATATATATATATATATATATATATATATATATATATATATATATATATATATATATATATATATATATATATATATATATATATATATATATATATATGTATATATATTTGTATGTTTTTATAGAATTAAATGTGTAAAAAATTATATTTTTATTTAAGTGTGAATATTTATATATGAATTATTAGAGGACTATTTTTTATTTAAAATCTGTTTAGGCGGTTCTCGATGGCGAGATCTTATGATCTTCTGCGAGTATCCGCGTTCTTCTTATTTTAACGCTAACAAAGTTTGTAACTTTTACTACGAGTTCGATCCCCACCACGTCCCTGGTAGTACCGCGCTCAACTCGTTTCTCCGCGCAGCGGCCTTGCTCGTCAAGGTTCGTGTTTCGGAGTTACAGAGTTGTGAGAGGGTTATAACCACAAATAAGTAGCCTCCTCGTCTGTAGTGGCCTTCTCGGCCTTGAGGAGGTGAATTAAAATTAAAAAAAAAAAAAAAAAAAAAAAACATGTATTTTATGAATCTTATTCATTTTTATATTGTAAAACTTATTTTGAATAAATAAAAAGAACAAACAAAAAAAATAAAAAATTATAATAATAATAAAAATTAATTGTTAATTCGACATCGACCCAACATCAGCTCTGACGTCAATTCGACGTTGTTCCGACGTCGCTTTGTCCACAGGGTCAGATCTAAAAACAAACAGGAATTCTTTTTACAACAGTGTTCTCAATTGCTAAGAAGCATGATCTAATTAAAAGCGTTGCTAGTGTGGCTGGCAGAAGACGAAAACGCAAGACCACTAGTGCAATTTGATCACAATATTATCATTAATGTGAAGAAAAATAGATTTGTTTCGGCAACTAAATTAGCTTTAAAAATTCAAAATAATCACAACATCACAGTGACTCTTCAAACAATCAGTAATCGTATTAGAGAACAAGAATATAAGAGTAGAATAGTTCAAAAAAAACATTTTAAACAAAAAAAAATTTACCTTTTAAACAAATGAAACGTCGATTGGAATTTGCAAAAAGTACGAAAAATACCGAAATCATGGAAAAGAATTTTGTGGTCAGATGAATGAAAATACTTGTCTCATTAGATGGAGTCCTGAAAAAGTGGCGAAAAAAAGGTGAGGCTTATAAATTGAGTTATTTGCGAGGTAGTGTAAATCAATCTCTTAAAAGCTACTCTTAAAAAGGGAACTTTTTAAAAGGGTTTTAGAAGGGTTTTGGGACCAAGAGTCTTAGTTTCTAAACTCTTGATTTATTCTTAAGCATATATATATATATATATATATATATATATATATATATATATATATATATGTATATATATATATATATATATATATATATATATATATATATATATATATATATACATATATATATATATATATATATATATATATATATATATATATATATATATATATATATATATATATATATATATATGTATATATATATGTATATATGTATATATATATGTATATATATATATATATATATATATTATATATATATATATATATATATATATATATATATATATATATATATATATATATATATACAGGGGTGGGACCGCAAAATGTGAACACTTTTCTGATTGTAATAATTAATTTTCTGTTAAATATGAACCATTTTAAATGTTCAATTTGACCTCCTTGATTCTTGTAGATCATTTTACAACGTTTAGACCAACTCTTTAGACACTTTCTGATGAGTGAGAGAGTACAGCTACATCTAACGAGAAAATAGTTATAATAAAACAAAAACGTTCACATTTTGCGGTCCCACCCCTGTATATATATATATATATATATATATATATATATATATATATATATATATATATATGTATATATATATTAAATATATATATATATATACATATATATATATATATACGTATCTTTGTTTTGGGCAGCTTCTGGGATGTTTCCAAGATATTTGTGGATTTGGGCAATAAGTTTTATTATTTAAAAAATTCATTTTAGTTCTGCAGTCTTTTCATAGCAATGCAAAGTACTTTTGACTTTATTAATGTTAATTTTTACCAAAGTTAATTTGTTTAATTATTTTCTAGGTTATGAAAAATGATTTAATATAAATATATTAAGGTATTAAACTGCATGAATTTTTTTTTGTTTAATTAAACTTTTATTATCATAAAAATGTTCAAGGTTAGTTTGAGGAATTATTTGGAAATCGGAAAAATGGAAAAAACATTAAATTTGTTTATGCTGCATTTATACTTCTTGTATTGAAGATGCATACCTAAAAATTTCAAATTTTTAATTCACTGTATATTGTGCCAATTTTCGGTCCGTAAATTGACCAATAAGTTCCCTGAAATAGACTAAGTCTTTAATATATGAAATTATTTTGAAAGAAAAAATTATTTGTTGTTAAGTTGAAATTCTGAAGAAATATATTATATGATATTTTTATAATAAATTTTTTCTAGTAATATAATATAAATTAGTGTAGTATTATTGAACTAATTAAATTGTGCCAAATAATGTTGTTTAAAAATGTTGTTTAATACTTGTGTAAAAATGGTGTTTACCTCTTACCGTCTGACCTGTCTGTTTATTATTACTGTTTTTAACATTAATTTTGTATTGCAAGTATTAAAAAATGTTAAATATACTATTTGTAAAATTAAAGTAGTATAAACTAATAATAACTGCTTTACTTATTTCTTCAATAGTTAATAGTTGAAAATAATAAAGGCTGTTGTTGTCAAATTTCTTGGGGAAAGAAAATTGTTATTGCTTGTAATATTGCTGACATTTTAACTAATGGTAAGCATATTTTGTATTGCAATGGTTCACATTCTTTTTTCTTTTTTTCCATTTAATGTATTAATAATGATTTTTTATTTTATGATTGTGATAATTATTTTTTATTTATAAAATTTTAGTGTGATTCACTACATGAATACTTATGCCAAAGTTTATATGGTCCACAAGTTATCTTTAATAAAACAGAATATGATGTAAGGAGTTGAAGAGGTATCGAAATGGATGTTCAACCCTTGATCAGTACATTTGTTTACTATTTGCTAGAGTTTTTACATATTCTTGTTTTGGGCGGCTTCTGGGATGTTAGCAAGATATTTGAGACTTTTTGCAATTGGCTTTATTATCTAAAAAATGCATTTTTCTTCTGCAACCTTTTCAAAGCAATGCAAATTACTTTTGAATTTATAAATTTTAATAAGTTATTTTATTCAATTATTTTGTAAATAATTTATTCAATTATTTTGTAAATAATTTATTCAATTATTTTGTTAATAATTTATTCAATTATTTTGTAAATAATTTATTCAATTATTTTGTAAATAATTTATTCAATTATTTTGTAAATAATTTATTCAATTATTTTGTAAATAATTTATTCAATTATTTTGTAAATAATTTATTCAATTATTTTGTAAATAATTTATTCAATTATTTTGTAAATAATTTATTCAATTATTTTGTAAATAATTTATTCAATTATTTTGTAAATAATTTATTCAATTATTTTGTAAATAATTTATTCAATTATTTTGTAAATAATTTATTCAATTATTTTGTAAATAATTTATTCAATTATTTTGTAAATAATTTTCATGATTATTATAAATAGTATAATATAAATATATTATGATATGAAATATATTTTATGTATAATTTTTATTTTCTTATTACAACTTTTAATGACAAAAAAATGTTTTTTTGTTAAGTACTTTGTGCGAATAGTCATGCAGAATATGCGTTTCTTTAAAAAGATAATTTTCATTTTACATAACGGTAACATAACGGGTAATTACCCGTTATGTTAGGTTTTCAACATAACGGTAACATAACGAGTAATTACCCGTTATATAACGGGAGTTTTCCTCGCACATAACGGTAAATTAGCGTTATGTAACCGTTATGTTTAAGGCAATTTTGCTATGACTAAACATAACGCTAAAACCGTTATGTTATTTTCATACATGTTAAGTATTAAACATAACGGCAATTACCCGTTATGTGCGAGGAAAATTCCCGTTATGTTTTTTAAAAATATAACGGGTATTTTATTTACTGTGTAACGATTGGATAAAACGTCGTTAATTATAACGATTGAATAAAATAAAATACAAAATTATTCTTAAATTTGTCTATACATCCATTCAAAACTTGAATATTTTCAAAGCCTAACTATTTCATCAAACATAAAGTATTTCTCTCTAACCAGCAAACCACTAATTAGGACAATTCAGCTGCCGCTTGTTTAAACCAATCGAATACAGCTTTGTAGAGGTGATAATAATTATCAACTTTCACCCGTTTAATCAAAATTTCATCGAGGAAAAGTGTCTAAGGTTTTATCTTTATTCTTTTTGGAGGTTTAAAAAGAGTTTAATGAAGTATCAAAGATTTTTGAAACCTTTTCACTGATTCTTCTTTTATACAAATTCCTATTAAAATTTCCTATTTAAATTGTTTTCTTTATACAGTTTATTCGATGCCAAGTTTTTTTTTAACAGACGAACAATCCACGCTAATTGTTTTTCGAAAACACAAAGTATTCAAAATTTGAAAAAGGGGTTTCGATGGTTTAACGAGATTTTTACTTGTCAAAAATTAAGAAAGTTTGATTTAAGTAGAGAGTCTTACTAACGGGTCTGAAAAATTCATGCGAAATGAAGAGGCTTTCGAAATATCGAGATTCGATTTATAAAAAGTTAAAAGTAAAAGTTTTTTGAGCGGTTTTCACGGTGACTTTGCATTTGATCACAAATAGAGGTTTTTAAGTTCAGGAGTTTCGAATTAGAAAAATTGTACGGTAGTAAAATTCTAAATTTCTCACGACTCTCTCACGTTTCTTAATACTTTGCAACATTTGAAAAAAATCAAGGTTATAGGTAAAACAGAAGGCGCATAAACTTAAGAAACTGAAACGGTTTTTGCACAATCGAAAATTTGACACACCCCTCTATTCAATGCAAAAAAGCCAAATTGATAAGGAGGGCTTTCAAAAAAAGATTTGAAAAACTTATACCTCCTAAAAAAGTTAGTTCTGTTTACGCCCTCTTTGAGAAAAACATATCAACAAAATGGTTATATGATCGTAATAACCACATCTCTAGTAAACGTACTAAATAACCGATTATAGAAGGCTAGAAACATGAGAGAAGATAAAATTATAACCCTCTATAAGAATTGTAGAAAGTATAAAAAAAGAAACGAAAAAAATTAAATTGCAAATATTCAAGAGAAAATAAAAAGAAATTTTACGATCTTTACGAAAAACGCTTTAAGCAAACAAAATAATCCAATTCTAATATTACTTATAGAGAAATTCATTTAAAAAAATGGATTTTAACCATAAAACGTGCTTGTTGCGCAACTGCTGTTCGATATTTCTTTAAGTATTAAAAGCCTGTCTTTAATTATTGCTTCCATTTTATTAACGTTGGAACTAAGTCGGAAATATTGTCGTTTTATTTGACTGATTTTTATTTTGATGTTCATCTAATTTTTTTTTAATTTAGATTTAATATAACTTTGCAATTTATTTCTACAATATTTCTACCTCTGTATTACTTTTGGAATTTTTTTTGTTATTTATTTTTAGCGTCTTTTTCTATTAAAACTTATTTCAACATTTTTCTTGTTGAATGCTACTGAAATGTTTCTGTTCAGAAAAATATTTTTATAATTGATATGTACTTTTTTTTCTAGCACTGCTGTGTCCAAAAGACAACATTTCTTTTATATTTTTATTCAAAGTTGTAATTTTATACCCAAAGTTTAGAGATCTCCACAAGGAACCAGATAGTAACGCAAGATATACGCAATCTCTGAAAGCTTGAACTACAGTACAGTTGCATTCCATGCAAACGTTCATATATATAGTCATGCAGCATGCTGGCATGTAAGTCAGTAAAAATACTATTAACATTATAATAAAAGATTGGTTGACTTTTTGCTCTGCGGTTTTCTGTTTCAAGTCTTTACTCTTAGTAGTTTCGGTTTTTGCTTTTTTGCTCTCAACAATGTTTGATATTGAAATTACGTTTATCGAATTTTGATTTGAGTTTTTGTTTACGGAATTATCTTTATTGGCTTCGTAAACGACGTTACACGACTTATTAAAGTTGCAATAAACAGAAAACTTAGTTCTGTAAAGATAAACAACTGATATCAGAGAGATACAAGCTATGGTTATGGTTGTAAATGCAAAAATTCCGAGATACGTAATGTATCCTACTGAAAAATAAGGCATCACAAGAAGACCTGAAACTACCCAAGTAGCAACAAGAACTAAATAACTCATTCGGTTAGATAATGAACTTCTATAATAAGCTATTGGCTTCATTAATGCAAATATTCGATCAATACATAACAACGCCATGGATAAAATGGAAGTATTACTTAAAACAAAAAGCTCTAAATGAAGTAACTTAATATCCTTAGGGTAAATCTTAATTCTCATAGCTTCTTTAAAATGAAATGAAATCGATGTAATATCAGCCACAGTTCCAATCAAAAGATCAGCAATTGCACTGTTTAGTATTAATTTATAAAAAATAGACATTTTAAAAACATTTTTTTTATCTCCCAATATCGCAATAATAAGTATTATGTTGCACAGTGTTGTAGTAAAACACAAAATAATGGAAGCGGAGCAAGTAAACGATGAAAGAGATGTAATGTTGTGGATGCTGCCGCAGGCCAAGGCCGAATGTCCTGCTGAAGAACTCATCGAAACGTTAATAAAAAAAATTTTTTTAAAAAGTTTTTTTTACTCTCTTGATTAAAATAATCAATTTAATTATCCAAATAAAAATAAATATTCAAGAAAAAAATATCAAATCAATAATATTTTATTTTAGGCTTTAATTTAATAATAAAACAATTTAAAGCTAGTTGCACGTGAAAAACAACAGTATGTTTTCGATAATGCCGGTTGGTTTTGCTTTAAAATAAAATACATTTAATAATAAAATTTTGTTTTTAAAAATAATATGCAGCTGTCAACTTATTGAGAATTTAATATCAAAAAAAATAACAACAACAACAACAACAAAAAAACAACAACAGTTGAACACATAAGAATAAATTTTAAAAGGTTCCCATAACTAAATTAAGATATTTCAAGAATTATAAAAAAAATTCTTAATTAAATGAAAAAATTCTAAAAAATTTTTACAATATTTTAAACAAAAATTCTTTAAGTGTTCAAAAAGTTTTTAAAATAGTTAAAAAAAGGTTCTTAAATAAAATCAACTGGAGTAAGGATCAGGGTAGGAAGTAGACCAGGTATACTTTTAACCTAAAAAAAAAATGCCATCCAGTGACGGATCCAGGATTTTTTGGTGGTTGAGATAGCTAACTTCCAGAAATGGAGCAAACTCCAAACATTTGTATGTTAATATTTATGTCAAATAATGAGGATTTGCAAAAAATTGCGGTGATTTGTAATTTAGCTGCAAACGAAAAAGCCCTTTGACTTCATCCCCCTCCCCCCACTCAAAATGTGAGAGGTAACAAGTTGATAAACTATTCTCAATTTGACTTATATTTATCGATATAAGTTTCATAATATTATTTCTCAGCGTTCAAAAATTATGATCATATAATTTTTGTAACCCCCTCAAATTAAGGGGGGTTTAAACTTTATATGGTCATAATTTTTGAACGCTGAGAGATAATACTATAAAACTTAAAATTTATGTATAAATATAAGTCTAATTGAGAATAGAACAAAATTTTTTTTATAAACTTGTTGCCCCTCACGTTTCGGTTGGTGATGGTGGTGGTGGGGCAATTGAAGTCAAAGGCTTTTTTGTTCGCAGCCTCCAATCACCGCAATGTTTTACAAAGCCTAATTATTTGACATAAGTATAAACATAAAAAAATGATTGGAGTTTGCTTCATTTCTGGAATTTGGCTCAATCACCAAAAAACCCTGGATCCTGAATAGCTATCTAAGTAATCGCAAGTAATTTGTTTACGCGTCTTAAAAACGAAACAAACTATACTACCATAGCAAACAGTTCAGGAGTCTGGAGTCATAGCATGTCATGACATGAGCAAATCAGCTGACAGGTGACAGCACACAGGCAGAATTTCGTTGACAAGTGTCATTTTGTAGTGGACAAAATAAGTACAACTTTTTTGGTTTGTTTCATTTTCGTAAGTCTGATCCGTGTCAACGTCACGGACGTTTTTTAATAATTAAAGAAAGTATCCAGAAGTTTCCAGAAGTTTCCAGAAGCATGCAAAAGCTTCCAGAAGTTTCCAGAAAAAACATCTGGAAGCATCCAAAAGTATCGAGAAACATTTAGAAGCATCCAGAAGCATCCAGAAGCTTCCAGAAGCATCGAAAAGAAACATCTAGAATCTTCCTTAATAGGTTCACACAGGTTCATTTTACTATATAAGAGATATGTAAATCGACATGTAATTCATACAGTATATAGAAGTCAATCAGTCAGTATTATCAAAACAGTTTATCGAAGTGAGTTTTGTCAAAGTGTTTTATCGAAAAACATCATTACAAGAAGTGAAATACAACAAGTGTTTCATTACATCAGTACAGTCCACATCCAACTAAGACGTTGTGTTCCACAGAGCATTATTGTATCATCACAAGGTAAATGTAACACGGTAAGCCTTTGAGAAGCGTGATTATTTATTTTTATTATTTTGATGATTTCAAGTGCAAAAATGACGGCTGTCTTGGATTGGAACTAAGAAAGAAAATTATTGGCGTTTACGTAAGTGAAATGTCACAAAAAAGTATTTGTAATAAATATCGCATGAAAAAATGGACCGTATCAAGACTATGTTCCAAGTATCGTTCTACGGGAAGTTGGCAGCAGATAACAAAGGTGGAATACCGCGTTCCACCACTTCTAGAGAGGATTCTACAATCGTCAGATCCGTTGAGAAGGATTCCTGAATATTATCATTCGAGATATAAAAGCAATTAGAGCCGCCGACAATCAGACGACGTGCTGTTGAAGCCGGATTGTTTTCTCAACGCCCTGCAAAAAAACCGCTGATTTCACTAAAGAACCAGAAGAAAAGACTCCTGTTTGCTCATCTCATATTGTCTGGAATGTGCAGAAATGGTGAACTGTCCTGTTCAGTGATGAATCGAAGTTCGACATCATTCGGAGCGATGGCATTTGCCGTGTACGTTGAGCGGCCAGAAAACGACTCGATTTACGTTACTGCCATAAGACCGTGAAGCTTGGTGGAGGCAATGTATTGGTCTGGGGGTGTTTTTCTGCTAACGGTCTAGGTCCAATACATCGAATCGATGGAATAACGGACGTTTCATGCATAAAAATATTCTGAAAGATGTTATGTTACCTCATGCTAAATGGAATATGCCAATAAAATGGGTTTTCAGCAAGACAACAACCCGAAACACACTGCAAAAGTAGTCAAGCAGTAATTTCAAGACAACCACCTATCGGTGATGGATTGGCGGCCTCATTCTCCGCATCTCAACCCTATCGAGAACCTGTGGGAGATCGTCAACCGCAGAATTAATTGTGAAGGTGTTCGTGATAAGGATCAACTGTTTGAACAAATCCAAAAGCCCTGGGTAGCGAATCCACAAAGTTTCATTGATCACCTGATCAAATCTATGCCTCAAAGATGCAAGGCTGTGATTGACAACAAAGGATTCGCCACGAAATATTGATAGCGAAATACAGCTTGGTCAACATTTTGTGGAGTTGCACTTGTTTTATCCAGAAGGAAATCAACTTTTTTTAATACTTTTGAATAATTTATTAATTTTCGTCTACAAATAATGAACTTTGTGGTGAATAAAACTTGAAGAACGTTGTTTCTAAACAGTTACATAGGTATTTCTCTAAATTAAAAAAAGTGCAGCACTTTTATATATGAAAACTTAATTAGCATTATTTGGTTGCACTTTTTTTGTCCGATACTGTATATATATATATATATATATATATATATATATATATATATATATATATATATATATATATATATATATATATATATATATATATATATATCTATCTATATATATATATATATATATATATATATATATATATATATATATATATATATATATATTGTCCGATACTGTATATATATATATATATATATATATATATATATATATATATATATATATATATATATATATATATATATATATATATATATATATATATATATATATATATATATATATATATATATATATATATAGATAGATATATAGATATATATATATATATAGATATATATATAGATATAGATAATGCACCTCATTGCGCTCACGTTTAGGGTAGAGGGGGCGTTTTCCATTCTCCTATCACAGTAATTTTTTTTTGAGAGAAGAATCTTTTCGTCATACATATAAACGTAAAAAAAATTTGGAATATTCTTTTTGTTTCAAATTTAATTCTTTCAACATTTAAAAACCTTCCTACGCCACTATGTATGTGTATGTGTGTAGGTATATTTGTATGTAATATGTATGTATGTGTTTTATATGTATACGTCTATATGTATACTTGTGTTTTATTCATATGTTCCTGTGAGTATGTGTGCACATATGATGTTATGTATGTACATACACGTAAGTAACTAGTAGGACCTCTATAACTAACCTATTTGCATAAAAAAAAGGCTAAAGTTGTTCAAAGTTGCTACACGTGGGTAAAAGAAGAACTTTTAAAACACCATTAGGGAAATACTTATCAAATGACAATAAAAATCATTTTTATAAAAATGACATTAAAACAAAAAAAGAAAAAAATTGATAGACTTAATCTATTCGATAATGAATTTCCAGAAGTGTTAAAAAATGGTTGAAGAAAATATAAATTTTGAAGAAAAATGAAAAATTTAACAAGACAATCGTGAAACTGAAAACTGAAAACTGAAAAGAAGAAAAAAAAAAGAAAAATTCTACACCTTTTTAAGATATAATTGAGAACTTAAAAGTTGTAATTAAGAAAAGTAAGATGTAATTGAGAAAAACAACATGTAATTTAGAAGTCGGAATATGTTATTAAGAAACATAACATGTAATTAAATTTTAAACCAAATTTTAAAATTTTAAAAGAGATACCCAACATGTATATAAGAAATTACAATATGTAATTAGAAAAACATAAGTTGTAATTAAGAAATCGTAATATGTAAATGAGAATACATTATTTGTAATTGCAAATTCACAAATCTTAAAGGTAATTATAAAAAATCATCTCGGACATGCATTTTAATAAGTTAATAATATCAAATTTAGCATTTGTATGCACTAGCAATACAGTAATACAGTAATGGAATTGAAAGATCGTTGTGTTATTTGTCAATACACTATGAACAGAAAGTCTGTTGTTAAATTGAATTCGTGCAAGCATTTATTTAACCAAATTTGTTTACAACCAGTTATGAAACAACCAGAAATACCTTGTATAATTTGTAGACATGAAATACATACAACGGAACAAGTTGTAAGAAAAAATTATGTTTTATCTTCATTGAATGATAGAAAAAGAGTTATTAAATGTCCTGAGATAAATGACAATTGGGTGACTCTAGCGCAAACTTTAGGTGTCAAATGTAAGACAGCATACAATTGGGTCGGCAGCAGAAATTTAAATTTCTTTGTAAAAGGTAGTTACCGCCAAAACTACTAAAGTCTTTTTCATCACTTTTTTAATTTATTGATAGTATATTATTATTTA